AAAACAGAGCGCAAAAAGTGTAAGTGCGATAGTTTGCAATTTGAAACCGACTTAAAAATACATCAGCCCCCTTATCCTGTGCACTAACAAACAAAAAAAATTAAAAATTAATAAAAATTTAATTATCCTTGCGCGCGATAACTATTTTGTTATCGCGTTATTTACAGAATAAGGACGCTGCATTTTTTTTTATTGTTGTTCTTAAAGCTTGTCAATCACCATGTTGACAATTGATAGCTTCAGCGTTGCTCTGGCTCGCGTTGGCAGTCGATGCATCAGTGGAGTCAGTTTTCTAAAAAATCGTCCGATTTCGCCCGTTATCGGGATCATAGTCCTTCTCATGGTTCCCGTAACTCTACGACAACCGGCCTTCCTTCTGTTTATTGCAACTTTCACTTTCTTACACTCTTTGAGATAACGATCTTCCTCCACCTGTATCGGATTGGAATAATTAATTGATGACACGTCGTCAAACGAACATAAGAGGCGAACGTAATTTTGCTCAACACTAACCTGCGTGTTGTTCTCCTTCTCCGAATTTCCTTTGGAAATTGCTATTTCCTTAATTTCCGCTTCATTGGAGTTTAACGACTGCGCGAGGTTTTCGTCCACGAGTTCCGGAGACACCTTAAATTCCACGTTTTTCTTCTCTTTCGCGTTTTTCGACACGGCAGAGGTAGCAGTTCTTCTCTTCGCTCGCGTTTTTCTTTGCTCGTTCGACTTGGTCGTTAGATTTTTCTTGCTTTGCCTCGTTTTTCTCTTCAACAAAGACCGTCCCTGCTGCTGCAACAGTTGCTGCTGCTGTTGTTGCTTCTGTTCCGGCAAATTTATCTTGATCAGCAGTCCCGGAGGAATACTCGCTAAACTGTTAACCGGTATTGGATTACCAAGGTTTGTTATGTCACCGGTAAACGGCAATATAATTTTCTTCACATCGCCCTGAAGACTGTTCACAACATTCGAGGTGACGTTATTGATCGTAATCGGTTGGATTTGGTCCAAGTTGATCTTCCAATTGGTCGTGGGCGGTGGCAGAGGCAGTTTTCTTCCCCAGCTTTCCAAACTGTTGGGAATAAGTTTGGGAATATTGATCGAAGTCGGTCGTCGGGACTTGCCGCGTTTCTTGGCTAAAGGCGTAGGTCTGTTGTCGACCTTGGGTTTTTTGCTGGAAACAAACGCCCTGGGACAACGATAAATGACTCTGGAATTGTCTCTAGCTTCTTCCTCTATCTCTTGATCGTCGTCGTTGTTGTCCTGATTACTTACGATCTCAGACGACTCAGATACGTCTTTGATTGTCGGTATAGCGTCGCACGGACCGCGAAATTTTGGATTGCGAAATTTCTGACTAGTCTCGAAGTGTTTGGAACAGAGCACGAGCTTTCGTATCTGATTGGGCGACATTTTGAGCAGATCCTCGCGGCCTAAGAACTGACACCACTGCAAACATCGCCCGATCTCGTACGCCGGAAACGGATGAAACCTGTAACGTTCGGCCTTGTTTCTCGGATCGGCTCTCGACCGGCCGCAAGCGGCGCAGGCTTGGCTCTCCAGCACTTCGGGAGGTAACGGCGGTTCTTCGCTCTTGTCTGTGTTGACAAAGAGCGTTGGTTCAACGTCCGACTGGGCGACCGAGAGTCTTGTCTTTTTTTCTGCCTTGTCTGGATCGCGAATATTAGGAATCGCGTTGTCCACCAATCTTCCTTTAAATCCCGGAACAAATTGAGACGAGTCGAAGTGATTCGAACAGATGTAGCAGAAGAGAATCTCCTTCCTCGTCAGTCTGTAGTACGATTCGTCCCCAACAAAATCTAACCACTTGAGACATCGAAACTCCTCGCCGGGAAAATGATGGAAGGTCGTGCCGTCGTAATCTTCCGAAGGCGGATCTTTCCGCATTCTTTTGCAAAGAACACACGTGATGTTGTACAAACTTTGCTTGGGATCGTAGATAGACGGAATCGCGGTGGCCTGCAAGCGATCAACGTAGAGAAAATCGGTTGGTTGAAAGTGTTTGGAGCAGACCATACGTTGAAGCAGCTGTTTTTTCGTGAGCTTGTAGAGATCTTCGCGACTGCAGAACTCGAGCCAGCGTAGGCAGCGAGGTTCGTCGTTCGCCGGAAAGCCAAAGAACATGTAGTCCTCCTCGCGATTCTTGGGATTCATGCGTGAACGGCCGCAAACAACACAGGGATGCGGCATGATTGTTGTTGATAATAATTGTTTCTGATTTTCTCGAGAGAATCAAATGAATTTGATGTTCATTGTGTTCTCGAAGTGAAAAAATTCTAACTCACAGAAGAAATCAATCGCTCGTTGAATCTTTCACTCTCATGTTTCCACCGCTGTTCTCAACCGAAGCAATCTCTTCAATCCAATCGCTGTTTGTTCAATCAAATACAAAAGAATACCTTCCGTTGTGTCTTTTGTATTATTTTCAGGCAATTTATTGTGGTTTCCCAAACGGAGATCTAAAAGTTTTGGATCTTTGTAAAATTGGTTTGATTCTTACAAGCCTTTTCAAAAGCAACTGTTGTTGTTTTCACGTTCACTGGTGACAGTTGTTTTGCGAAAGCTCCAAAAAAAAATTAGATTCAAACAAATAGAATTTGAACCGAATTTCACACCGAGTGCGTATCTCCTTACCTTTCCTCGCGCTTTTCTCTCCCTTTTTTCGTATATTTCTCGAAAAAAGGTGACAATTTTCCTTCCGCATAGAGGTTAAGGTTTGCGTTTGATTTCAAATTTTTTTACACAAGCGGTAATCTTGCATCGAGCAACGCCAAATTCTCAATTAAACATTCTGAAAAATATAGAAAAGTGGGTGAATTGTCGAAACGAAATATTTGTAAATTGAATCGAGCGGTTGGACGTACTTGTTGCGCTGCAAAAAACGATAAACTATAAAACGAGGTTATTTCCGCGCTTCGCTGTACGGATACTGTGTGGTTGTTAAAATTGATGCCACACACCATGCCACCCAGACCCAACCTCGAAACTACTCGAAACTCCGCGCACGAAACGACTTGCGTCCGCTTTTGCCAAAATTCGCGCGAACAAAATTAAAATAGCGCGAAGAAGAATTTCAGCAAAAAAATTATTTTTGTATTTTGGACGAATTTTTAGAGTTGGAAACAATTTGGATCGTCGTATCTGTCGAACAAAACAAACTGACACATGACGCTTTTTCCTCTCATCGGTGTTACTACAATTAAGCATTCATTTAATTCCAGCATTTAAGGAAGTTGTGAAAATTAATCAAATTAGATTATTTTCGTACGTTCGCGCACGTTTGACACGAACGAATATAGAAAAGTAAACAATGACGGAGAACGCAAATAATCCGTTTGACATTAACGGACAACATTTTGATGCCACCTTGTATCTGCAAAAGTTATTAAAAGTAAGTATTTTATTTGTCAGTTGTATATGCAGACGTTTGCAACTTAAATTACACAATTCAATATGATAAAATTTGATCTTCGTTAATTAATATTTTTGTAAATAATTTATAATCGACACGCGTCCTTTTAACTTTTGTGATTTAAATTTTCACAGGAATGTACATTGAAGCAAATTATGGACCACGAGGCTGAGATCATAAAAAACAGTCAGACTTTACACTCGGACATGCAAACTCTGGTGTATGAGAATTATAACAAATTTATATCCGCGACTGATACCATTCGCAAGGTATGAAACAATTTGATTACAATCGAAGAAGACAATAGTGCGCGATCAGAAGTTTAAATTTTAAACATGATGCAGATGAAAACGGATTTCAAAGAGATGGAGGAGAGCATGGATCTCTTGGCGAAGAATATGGACAGCATCACTTCATTTTCTGAACAAATCTCGTCGACCTTGCAAGGAACGAGACAACAAATCGCCAAACTGTCATCAGTACACACCTTGTTAAAGAAGCTGCAATTTCTCTTTAAACTGCCTGGTAATCTCAAGGACCGAATTAATGAAGAAAATTATGCACAAGTATAGTTTTTTTTTTTTTTTAATTGATAATATTCTATTTCGTGATTTGAATTTATATAATATAGAAACAATTTACTTCCAGGCGGTTCAAGATTATGTTCACGCGCAGAGAGTCTTGAATCAGTACAGCACCATGCCGTCCTTCCAAGGCATTCAAAAAGATTGCGAGGACATTTTGGAGGAACTGAAATCCAAGCTCAGACAGCAGCTTCATAAGAAAGACGCGTCCACCAAGGCTCTGGCTGAAAATGTCGATCTGTTGTTGCAACTGAAAGAGCCGGCCGATTCTTTATGCGCCGAATTCTTGGTTCACGCAGAAGCAAGACTGATCGAACAGTTGGAAGTGTTGAAGGACATGTGCGAAAACGACATCATCGAGTTCGTTGACACGTCCTCTTCGGGATTTCTCAGCGATCTGTGCCTGATTGTGGCTTCCTACAAGGACATGTTTATAAACCGATCGTTGGACGATCACAATCTGGTCGATGACTTTGACACAAAAGCTATGGGACATTTGAACAAATTTGTAGTGAGCAATATGAGAAAATATTTCGATCTGGTGGGCAAAAGGGTGGAAGATGTGGCCGACACCGCAATTTTGGTTAGAGCCCTCGATAGGTTTCATCGCAGACTGCAGGCAATAAACATGCTCTGCCAGGAAACAGACTTCGCCAGGTAATAAAAAGGAAAAAAGGAGAAGAAGACACGCACTTGGAGTGTGTATAATCGAAGACAAAAATAACAAAACGAAATAAACGTGAATTAAAATATTTGCAGAATTGGAACGGACATAGTCGTGAATGCAGGCCGAAAACAATGTCGCAATCACTTGCACAGTCTGAAGCAACACTTGAGCGAGACTTTGGTAAAAGTGAGACAGACTTTGGCCACCAAAGTTACACAAGACGGGAGCGACGGGGGTTTGGCGGAGCTTCAAGCTATGCTTATTATGCCCACGATTGAGAAAGTTAAAGGAGTTCTGCAAGACTTATTAGTTCGTATAATTACGTCTGTGCGAGTTTGTAGAATTTTTAGAGTTCTGTTAAATTTTCACAAATTTTCTCCAAACTCTCTTTCAAACGCATTTATAATTCTAATTTTATATGTAACGTAACTTAATTTTGCAACAGGTGTTTTTACAACCGGATTTGTCGTTTAGCTTGAAAACACAATTTCTGCAAAGTTTCTGTGTGGACGAGGTGAGGGAGGGGCTGGTGATCGGTTTTCTGCACCATCTCACGGCTACGGTCGCCGGATTCTGCAACGGATCCGACGTGTCGAAGTTTCCTCCCACCCTTTTGCTTTTGCTCAGCAAAATGTGCATCGAGTACAAGGAGAACAACGTTCGCTACTTGGTAAACAGAGTTTCTTTGTCCACTTCGTGTACGAGATGACGAGTGAACTTTGACTTGTCGTTAATCAGGTAAATTTTTTTGTTCAGCTCACGACGACCGACAATCTCTTCAACATCGATCAGTACAACTCTTCGGAGAACATTGTGACCCCCGCGTCGGAGATATGCGATCACTTTCAGGAGGCCGCTCAGAACTTGCTGAATCACTACGTGCGAATTCAGGGCCTGGCGGTTTCTCAGATGCTGAGGAAGTCCGTGGAAACCCGAGATTGGCTGCACACGATCGAACCGCGAACCGTGAGAGCCGTGATGAAGAGAGTCGTCGAGGACATAACCGCTATAGACTCGCAAGTTGCCGCTTTGTACGACAGCAACGACGGTCAGGTGGACAGAAGTAGCGACAGTAGCAGAAAAACTCACAGGTGAAAGAAGACACTTGTCTCTTCGGTTATAAAATACTTGAGTTTTTTTCAGATTCTCTTTGTTCTCTTTAAAAGTTCGTTTTACGGAATAAATAATCGCGTGTTTTTTTGCTCATTTGTTCTAGCGTCAGCGTGTCGAGACACTACAGATCGAACTGGTCGTCTTACACGCCCAGTCACATCGATTCTTCCCTCGTGACGAATATTCAGAAGTTATTCTCCGAACAGATCGAGATCTTCTCATCGGTGCAATTCAACAAGGCGTCCATTCTCACGGGAATCATCAAGATAAGCTTGAAAGTACGACATTAAACAATAATATCGCTCGGTTTCGTGTCATTCTCTTTTATTATCCCCGCTTTATGTCTCACCGTGACCTTTTAAATTATTTATTAAATTAACCGAATCGCGTTATTTGTGCGAGCTCACGCGCGCGTACGCGCGATATAAAAATTTCTGTATAGAATAACACTTTTACCAGACGATTTACTGGCATAACGATCGCTCAGGTGGTGCAGAGTGGTCGCAATGATAAAATAGCACCGCTATTATCCACTTTGCGGAGTTGATTCATCCTCCGCCGTCGTCGTGTTCTGTCATCGCTCGCTACGCAATATGCTTCGTGCTTCTACCGCTATTACTTACACAATTGTTACATAAAATCTTAAATTAATATTAATGCATATATTTTTCCCTCTCTCTCTCTCTCTCTCTCTCTCTCTCTCTCTCTCTCTCTCTCTCTCTCTATCTCTCGCTAAATAATAATTTTTCGTAACAAAATATCGACACGTCGCGATATCTTGCGTTTTCTCATCGGAATTTCTCTTGTCTACAGACTTTTCTCGAATGCGTGAGACTGCGAACGTTCAGCAAATACGGTTTGCAACAAATACAAGTGGACACTCATTACTTACAACTGTATCTGTGGAGATTTGTCTCGGACGAAGAGTGAGAATTTGATTTTTCTTCTACAACAAATAAAATTTTAAGCGATTGATCTTCTATAATATGTTTGAGGTAATATTTATTATTTTTTGTTTGTTTATTGTTCGCAGCGTGATGCACTTTTTGTTGAATGAGATTTTGGGAAGCGCGGTGCACAGATGTCTCGAGCCCGTCTTGATGGAGCACAGCGTGGTGGACATTATTTGCGAGAGAGGCTGAACCGAAGCGCGATTTTGCGCGTTGTAGCAAATGGTAAATGTAAAAAAAAAAAAAAAAAAAATAATATAAATCTCACTGATGATAAGATATGTGAAAGAAATGTAAATAGAAATATATTTATAATAAATTATATAAGAAGAGATCGTCTCGTGTTCAGAAAAATATACACATTAAAGACACAAGTTTCTGCAATAAAAATTGCAAATCTTGAAAACATTTCTCCAACAAGCGTTTCTACATCTGCACACTACACACACACACGCATGCACGCACGCACGCACGCAATATATTCCCATCTCGTTCAAGGTACGTACAGACCCGTTAGATTCAGTGCGCGGTGTAAGAAGCGGCACAGGGTCAAACGATTTTAATAAGTCTTAATTCTCTTCGCGTACATTATTCCACGCTTTCGAACATTTCCACCAATCTCACCGCTTTGTTCTTTTTTGAATTCTTTTTTTTTTATTTTTATTTTTATTTTTAATTCATCTCTCACGTCGTGTTTCGTTGCGTTTTTCTGATTTATTAATTCAATTAATTTTTGTTCAATTTTCTTTTCGTTATTTTATTTAAAAAAAATTAAAACACTGTGTGATGTTCGATATTTTTTGATCGTTTTCACGGTATTACTAACTCGCTGGAATGCATGATTCACTAATAAAGAAGAACGCGCGGGGGGTTGAACGATAAGTTTATCGTTCGGTACGGTGGTACTGGGGAGAACTTGATTGTGTATTGCCCCTTGACAATGGCTACTCTCGACTTAATTTGGACTTCCTCTCTCTTGGGATGAGATTCATTCGGCGAGTATCCGGCCTGAGCCCACGCACCGCGTTCTACCCAATTTAACATCACTCGCTTCCCTGAATTGTTCGTGACGGAGCTGCTGTTTCGAGCTTCCAAGCTTTTTGTTTTTCCACAAATGTGCTCGTCTTCGATATCGGTCTTTGGTAATTATTTCGTACAGAGAAAATCGTCAATATCTCTCACGCGCGCATCGACTCTCGAGTGCGCACGTTCGATTGATGCACGAAAAAAAAAAGTTTTGCTATTTTGCTAAAAATTCGCTGAGTCTACTGAAGATTTTGTTTCATCAAAAGTTCGGGGAGAGAGGAAGGGACACAAAAATTCAATAGGCTTAGCAAATTTTTCTCGCCAAGCCGTTTGGTAACTAATATCTTCCCGAAGGTTTGCTGTTCCGGCGAATCTTTTGTTTTTTTTCAAACGTGCAAGTAATCCACGTTTCATGCTTCGGAAAAGAGCTTTCTTCCACAATATGTTAGAAGTGAAAAATTGGAAAAGTTTAATTACCGTAACAATCTTGAAAAAAACATGCTCGTAATGGAACATTCGTGGAAACATGTTTTTGACTTTTAATTAGTTGGATATATTCGAACTTTGTACAAGTAGAAACTGAAGTGAATTGTATAAACCGTTCCGAGAAAAAATGTTACGTCGACTTTTAATTAAATTAAATTCACAAAATCAAGAAATGAAACTTTGAAGTTCCGTACGTGCGAAATATATTTTTTCATTAATGTTGCGAATTGTTCCTTGCGAATTCGATGTTCTCACATTTTATTCTTCTTTTCTCGGAGAGTCAAAAATATTTAAATAAAAAACAAAAAAATGTCCGACGTTTGTACACTCGACAACGTGTGCGACACGATCGGTTTGAAAAAAAAAAAAAAAAAACGCGAAAAAAGGAGAGCGAACGATTTTTTACGAATTGATGAAGTTTTTAATTGGAAGTGATCTATTGTTAATGAGGCGCGAGAACGACGATATCGACAAGACACGGAGAAGACGTGCGGCCTAGCAGACGTGTGGCAACAGACACACGTGATATCTTGAGAAACACCTGTGCATGTGTGACATGTCGACAATTTCTCGTGGCGCGCTCGACTCGAGAAAAACCCGTTGCCATATGTAGATTCCAATAACGCGTCGCACATCTACGTGTACGACGTGTCAAAAGTGAACTCGTGAAAAGTACTCGCATGCCGAAATATCAGAATAAAAGTTCGCGCGCCGCGCACAAATATCGTCCGGTTAAAACACGTAAAACTCGACGCCAACATACGAAAAAAGAACGTGTGTTCGTTTATTAACCGCATTTATATTTCGTACTTCGAGTGAGAAAGGAACAATCGATGCGGTTTTTTTTTTTCGAGGTAACGGAGCGATGCGGCTTCGAAACGATACAAAAAATTACGCACGAGTCAATTTTCGTGCGAGAGATTCGACGAACGGAAGAAAGAGAGAAAGGAAGAAACGATCGGTATTGTGTGGCAATTATTCGCCGAAATGGACCCGCATGAGAAAAGCGGGTTAAATAGAAGCTCGTTCTCAATGTGTGTGTTCGAATAGAGGAGCACACACGTAATGTCTACGTATGTTATGTACGTGATCGAGTGTGTCCTTTTGTATGTGACGTACCTTATATAATTCTTCTTTCAAGAGATGATTGTTGCGCCCGCCGATCATCCTTCGTTTCTCCAATTCGAGTGTCACGAAATTTAACAAATATATACTACAAACAAATACTATAAATATATACTACAAATATATACTATTGCACGAATTAAACAGATGTGAAAAAAAAAGCGAAATCAAGAGATGGAACTTCGAGAGCTCCATACGCCACGTCGCGAGAATATAACTTAACTTCTGTGTGTGTAAATTAATTTGAAAATGCGAATTAAATAACAATTTTGAAAATTCACAGCAAGATGCCACTTCGCGTCACACGTATGTGAAAAATTTATATTTCGCACGCGCACATCCAGCATATGGCTCTCCTATTTCTTCGTTTTCACAGTTTGCGTTTAATAGAATCGCGTATGCGCGTTGAGAGAAAAATTAATTTTACTATCTCGAATTTTCACACGTATTTAAGAATGTTTTTTGGTTTCTTTTCTTTCGACTATCTTTTTTTTTTCTCTATTTTGTAACGAGTGTCGCGAAATTATAGATATATGTGTTGCATGAGAGAAACGCAAAGAAACAAAGGCAACTAATTTTAATGTCACGAGTTTCGTGTGTATCTAAAATCTCTCGTTTTCGTCCGGTTTTTCTCTTCCGATTATTTTTCTTCCCGAGTAGTTTCTTTATTTTGTAACGCGAGTGTCAAAATTACATTGAACATGTACGTGAGAAAAGAAAGATACAAGAGGAACGCCAATTTTAATATCGCAAGTTTTTGTAGAATAAAATTTTTCTCATTCTTTTTGTCACACGAATTGTCTACACGAATTTGGTGTAAAATTGAATTTTGGATTGTTAAGAACCGAAACAAGAAATATGCAACGGAGGTATTTCGGTTTGTGACCGTAATAATGGGCGAAGATTAGTTTGAACGCTCGTTGTTATGTTCGCAAACCCAACTGTCTCTTCCACGTCCGTCTTCCACTTCCGAGTGCGCAAGAATTTCAAAAAATTCGACAAGCGGCTTCAAAGACACGTTTGACCGTATTTTCGATGTAATTAATTTTTCACCGTCCTTTGCGCACACATCCAGCGATCAACGCGCGAGAGTGTTCGAACGCAACTTTTACTAGAAACTAAGAGGCCGAGAGCACGGGGAACAAATTGGATGTTAATTAAAATAAACGATTTGTTCTTAATCCAATCGAGAATTTGTCTCACGTCAAGTTTTTCACTGAACTCGCGCTTCTTCGCGCCGACAATTAAAAACAACTAACAAGCGAAGTTCTCTCAGTTTCTCTCTCGTGACGGATGTCGCGCATCGTAACCGAAGACGAACGACCGAGACGTCAAAAGACACAAGTTCAAGTAACAAGGAAAAACGAGAGTAACACATTGTTAACATCGCAAAGATTCACCTCTGAAAACGCGGCGGCTTATTTACGTGCTAAGTAGTAGTGCCGTAGGTGATGATTTCGATAATTCACCTCGACACGATTACTTTACACGTCAACGGGCGCCGGAAAAACCATCCGGACACACGGAAACTAAGTTTCACGAGGACCGAAACTCGATGTCGACGAACGCGCGCATCACACGGGGGTAAACTGATTTACTTAAAATTAAACGAAATCTATACTTCTTACCTCAGGTTACTCTTTTGAGTCAACTCGAGTCAAGTTTTAATTAATTAAAATTGAAAAAACTTAATCAAAAGTTACGAAACGTCACTTCGAAGTTGCACGCACACTGTTCTTCGCGAGCACACACACCGCGCCGTGTGGCACACGATTATGTTTCGCCGCTACGGTCTTTTGTTTTTCCACAGCCAAGTTGTTTTTCACGATCAAAGGGTGTTTTGTTTTTTTCGAAGAAAATTCCAAACGCGTGTTTATTGTATCTCGCCAGAACGGCGTGCGTGCAATTTCGTCATGGGGGGGGGTTTTGAATAAAGGGGCCCTCTTCCTCGCCCCCGTATATCGCGGATCGGTGAATGGTACGATAACAGCTACCCTCTTTCGGCGGAGGGGCGGGCGGGGAGAAAGGAATAACAGGATCATTCGCCGTCGGTTGGTGGACCATTCAGTGCCGCGACCGACACTGATTTTAATTGGTAAATTGACTCAGAACGAGTGGGAGAGGAAAAAATGGTGGCGCGGAGAGTGACCGGCGATGACATCGCGGAAGCGAGAGGGAGGACAGTGGCGTAGATATAGCGGCGTTGAAAAGCACGCTCGAGAGGATCTCTCTCAAGACAAGAAGAAAACAATGAACCCGCAATGGTAATCGCAAACTTTATAATAGCCCATGTATTTTGCTCTCGTTAAAACGTTTTATATTGTTAATTTGCGATTAAATATCAATCAAACCTATCAAAATTCTTGTGTTTTATTATGTTACCCCTAATGTACTTGCGCAAATGTACGAGCTCTTTAAATATTAGACCATCGAGATAAGGAATAAAAATAGCGAGATATTATTAAAGTGTAAAAACGTTACATAAATTTTTGTAAACAAATTACAAATTTAGAAAGAAATTTTATCTAATTTATATAAATAATTAATTTGCGTGAATTTGGTAAGTTTTAACACACAAATTTTTTTCAATTTGTTAAATTTAATTTTAAAAGGCTCTACATATCATTCAAATTCTATATATCTCGCGCGTGTAGAAAAAACTCTTATTCTTACTTCTATTTTGCGTCTTACCTGAGAAAAAGGAAGCAGAAGAAGATAAAGAAAAAACAGAGGATAAAGAGTCCTTGCCTGAGATTTTACTCAAAAACGGATTGGAAAACTTCTGGCGGCACAGTTGACGCGGAGAGGGTTGTGGGATCCTGGCCAGGGGACCGTGGGTGAGAAGAAAAAGAGGGGGAGGAGTGAGAGAGGGAGAGCAACGACGTGTGTGTTTCTCTCTCTCTTTCTTTCTTCTCTCTCGTCGTCAGCGGACAGTCGGTTAATAGGCGGTGAACGCCGCTTGAATGCTTAATGCAGCGCGCATTCTAGGATTAAATTGACCAATCATTTCCCGCGCGCGGACAGCGCAAGAGCCAATTGCGCCTTGTGCGCGCTCGCGCGCCCGCTATATCAAGTCAATCAGCGGCACTTTAGCGCTCAGTCGCCGTCGCACCGCTGTGTGGGGTGGTTCGTCGTTGGCGTCGGGTGGCGGATACGATAATTGTGCGCGCGACCATGGGGATCAATGGGGGTTGCGCCGTTACGACAAGCCGATCTTGGGCGCGCACGGGTGTTCTCAGTTTCTTTCTTTGTTGGTGGAGTTTTTTTGTTTCGCCTCGTGTTTTCTCTCTCTTTTTATCTTTTACTTTCTCTCTCTCTCTCTCTCTCGTGTGTAAAACGCGCGCGCGCGCGAATACAAAGCTGCAATTCAGCGCGCGCAGTGAATGAACGGACAAAGTGTGAAGAAGTACACGTGAGAGGGACTGCTTGTACTAGTTTATACGTAAATTAACAGAGTTGTTTTTGTCCACGGTAAAGAGAATTAAATATATATTCCTGTAAAATTAAATTACTTGTTTCGTTTTTAAAAAAAACGAAAGTACGCGCATACGTGTGAAATGTTGGATTTTTCGTCTCGTGTGAACATTATCGATAAGTCTTTTTTTTTTTTTTTTCCAGCGATAACTGAAAAATTCCGACCGCAGCAGAAAATCGTCACATAACTGCGCGCGCGCGCAGCGAGAGTAAAGGTTACTCAATTTCCTGCGATTGTTTTCGGGGGGGGAGACGAAAAAAAAAACGCGTTCTTGAAAAAATATCACAGAGATATCACGAGAGCTGAATGTTTGACGATTATATTATTTTTGCAAAAAAATCCGGAAAAAAACAAAAAAAAGTTGTGGAATTTCAATCACGTTGATAATTAATTCAAACACGCACGGGGAGAAATTTGTATATCGCACCGGTATAGATATTCTATTTGTTTGATTAAAATTTTCTGGTCGCGCGTGTGAATTTCACAGATTCACGCGCTTTTAATATTTTCCCGTATATATAATAATAATAATAATAATAATCTCTAATTGTTAAATTAATATATAATTCCCCATTAGCTTAATGAACGAACGCTTCAACTTATTTTCGAACAATATTTCGCTTTCTCCTTTTCTCCCCGCCGCTCCTTCTATTTGTCGCAAACGTTGGAATATAGTTTGCGTTGAAAAATCGAACGATTCATTTTGTTATTCCGCGCGAGCATAATACGCTTCGCTCCATCACGGCTCTTTTACTGATTATCGCAATGACTTCTTGACCCACGTCGATAATACGGAACGAGAAAACGAGGAAAAAAAAAGAAAAAAGAGAGAAAGAAAGAGAAAGGAGAGAAAATACTAGGGTCAGAATATCGAGAATACCAGTGATGTGACGATACGTTCTATAAATAAGTAGGTAAATTGAAAAAAAAAATTTGTCACACACAAGAATTAATTAAATAATTACAACGCTTGTTAAGTGACAGGAGTCACAACGACTGTTCCTTTTCGATACTGTGCGTTTTCTCTTTTTTTTTTTTTTTTTTTTTTTTAGACGGCATACGATAATTATGTTTGATATTCGATCTCGTCTCTTCTCTTCGGTCAGCCTTCGTCTACTTTACACCCCCGCGAAA